AAACTTAATGGTGGTGATGGTGGCGGTGCACACACGGGAGGCAGCAGGCGGCGCCGGCGAGGGCGTCGGCAGGCGGCGCCGGCGAGAGTGGCCGCAGGCGGTTGCAGAGAAGAGGGTGGCTTAGGTCTTACGAAAGCTTCTGTATGCGTAAACAGCAATTAATTAAACTAATTAGTCTTTAAGGATAAAATTGGAAAAGCAGACCCTTTTAAGTCTTACAAAACAAAAAGATTTCATTCGAGAGCTTCTCTCTCTAGAAACGGCGGCCATCTAGGGTTTATCCCTAGCAGTTTTTTCTTGCGGCTTTGCCCTGAGCCGGTGGTTTGTGACGTAGCGAGCAAGAAGGGGAGTCCCCGGACGATGGCGAGCAAAGGAGATGGAAGCGGAAACAGTGAGAAGGCGTTGAAGATGTTTTCGCTGGGGCTGGTATCGCAGAGGAAGGAGCAGGAGTGGGACGACGATGTCTCCCTCCTCGGCGATCGGAAGGAACCATGGCTCCTACAGTCGATCGAAAGGAACCATGGCGAGGACGACGAGCGTTCCGCGGCTGATCCCGTATGGGTGAAGGAAGATGAAGAGATGGTGATTCGCCCCCCTCCTGAACCGCCGCCATGGAAGAATTGTGCGACTAGGGTTTGGACTTTGGAAGGCTATCTCTTTTTTTGTTTTAGCCTGTTTCTGTTTTTACTTTGAACGCCATGTTGTTTGTTTGTCTCGTACGCTTATTTCTGTCAGACTATTACATTAGGTAGGGGTGATGAGGGTTTTGCTCTGACCACGCTAGGCTCATTTAGACCATTACAGGATCAGCGAATCATATTGCTCTGTCTAGAGGGCAGCGGGTGTCACGGCGACGAGGGTGGTTGGTTCCGCGGGAAGGCTAGTGGCTAGAGTTTTGAGAAAATAAGTAGGAAGTCAGGGTTTTATATTAACAATTAGGGACTAATTAGTCAATAAAAATATTTATTTATTTAATGATTTATCAAATATTACGAATTTAATTATTATTTTTGGAAAAAATTATAAAGTCATAAATTGAGAAAGTGAATGAGTTTTAGGCCTTATTAAAATCAAATAAGGAAGAGTATAAAAACAATAGAAATTTCAAACTAATATGATAGTACTATATAGCTTATTACTCTCCTCGTCGAACAATCAAGCACACTTTTCATGGTAAAATATATCCTAAAGTCTGTTGTACCGTGCGCACGTTACATCCGGACTTTTTGTTCGTTGCGCGCCTTTCGTCGTTCCTTAGAGCTTCGCTCGCACAGTCGGATGTGCAACGATGGACATCGCACAGTCGTTCCTCCACCTCGCGTGGATCGTTGCTTCCTCGCCACTATCGTTTCGATCACCTGTTGGATCTGCGACGATGGAGCTCTCAACGGAGGATATGGACAGATTACACGGTGTATACTCCTAGAGCCTCTCCTCCCTCTTTATTTCTTTGCAGTGTTTTCATTTTTCTCTTTTTCTTACTCGGGTTTGGTGAGTTTGGTCGCTTTTTGGGTTAGAAGAAACCTAAGTTGTACATAATTTTAATGATATGATACACAAATGAAGTTCTTAGCATACTAGAGATTTTAAATGAGCTTTTATACTTTTTTTATGCGACGTACTAATTTGGTAATTCATGTATACTCATTTGATATTGGTGTAATACTCATTTCAAATTGTCATATTCATGCATATTTCAAAAGTATAATATTACATTAAATTCACATATTAGATTCATACTGGTTCATTGTAGATATTCTAAAAAAAGTGAATTATAAGATATGAAACTGATATCACGATGTTCATTATTAGACTCTCAATACTCAGTAGAATAGATCTAATGCTCATTAGACGTGCATTAATGCACATTTAGCGGAAATCATGAATTTCACTTAAATTACCAAAATGCTACCAGTTGTACCGTGCAAGCCGTATGGTATACAGACTCACTTTCCATACGTGATACCAAAAGCCGACAACAATCAATTTTTTTTAAAGTTTAAACTCCTTTTTGCTCTCCTTCACATTGCCAATTTCTCCTTTTTCCCAGGCTTTTCCACTATGACATTTTGGATTAAGCCTCTTGTTCTGATTTCACTCTCAAATTTGGAAAGCTCAAGTTGATGTGTATCCTAATGGTATACTTGTATGATTTATTCAGATAGAATACACCAACCTGGGTTGGTAATGTGGTTCACTTGATTGGTCACCCACCACTAAATCTTTCCTTTGTGAGATGTCTTGCTCTCCATGAATCTCATTACATTCTCGTGTGGTGGGATGAGTAGTCTTGTAGTGTAGGTGATGCAAGTCTTATTCGATTCATCCGATGTAATGAGTACCAACAAAAGCTATATGCGATAGTGTGCAGATTTACCTGTCTAGAGGATTTGGGGTCGATAAACGAGACTCTATCACCGGGTTTACCAAGATATGAAAGCACAAGCTCCCACACCTGGTTTATAAAAAAACATTTCAAGTCCACTATTTATCTCACCTATGTCTTTCTCAGTCATTTCAATCTTCTCTATTTCATGGCTAAACCAAACAGATGATTACATATTCAACTAGGCAGTCGGCAGTGCACACATTTTGAACAAGAATTCAAAATGATAAAGAAAAGTCATTGCACCTCACAATGTCGTTCCCAAAGTGATACAAATTGAACTCCACTTCTAGTAGGACAACTCCTAGATAAGTAAGTTTTTCGATTCTATTCTGTTGACCCATGCTTAAGGTTTTTCGATTCTATTCCGTTACCCTGTGTTTTGAGTAGATTTTTCAATTCTGTTCCATTGACCCATAGTTCCATTCTTGTATAGCATCAAGCTGACAACTATGACCCATGTCCTTCATATTAGTAAATAAATTTTCCAACATTTCATCTATGACATTGCATTCTGGATGCCTGCGATCTCTTGAAACAAAACATGTATAACCAGAAATATCAATCCAACTGCAACCAACTTCTTTTACTACCCCCTTCTCACGCAGTCCTCCTCTCACACCATTCACGAAGTTCCAATTTCCTTCCTCCGCGTACATATTTGAAATCAGAACATGATAACCCGTCATCCTGCCCCCACCACCCTTGAATTCAAATAACTTGTTAGAAACGATTTTTGCTAAGTCAAAGTTTCTGTGGATTTTGCAGGCAGCAAGAAGGGATCCCCACATTCCAAATGTAGTCTTTTCTTTGCCAAGCCCCTGAAGGAACTTGTACGCTTCAACTACCCTCCCAACCCTTCCTAGCAAGTCCACAACACAAGCATAGTGCTCAAGAGAGGGATCAATCCCATATTCTTTCTCCATTGATTCAAATATTTGAAGTCCTTCATCAACCAACCCAGAGTAGCTGCAGGCGGACAAGATTGCTACGAATGTAATTGCATCTGGTTTGACACTTTGGACCGGAAGAGAATAGAAAAGTTTTAAAGCTTTCTCCCCCATCCCATGTTGACCGTAGCCTAAAATCATATTCGTGTATGTTACAGAGTTCTTCTCTCGTGAGTTCAGAAAAACACTTTCGGCATAGAAAACAGCACCTAATTTAGCATACATGTCTACTAATGCAGAACTCACAAAAACGTTTATGTCCAAAAAGTTGCGAACAGCAAAACCATGGATCTGCTTACCTGCTGTTATACCCCCTAATTGACTACACGCAGGGAGAATTGATGCTAAGGTCACTGCATTTGGATCCTTTCTCTGCTTAATCATCTCCCTGAAGCTGAGAAATGCCTGCTCAATTAACCCATTCTGTGTGTTACCAGCTATCATAGCATTCCATGTCACCTGATCTCTATTCTTTGGTAAGTTTGACTCAAATACTGATTTTGCTTCCTTCATCATGCCAGTCTTGGCGTACATATCTATTAGGTAGCTGTCCATCCCTTCGGATTGAATATTATGTCTCAGAAGATAACCATGTGTCTGCTTACCGATCTCCTTGTCCCTCAAATTTGAAGCTGCCGAAAGTAAAGCAGTAACTGTGATGGCATCAATAGCAAATCCTTGCTTTAGCATATCATATAAGAGCATCAAACCTTCATCATCATTCCCATTCTGCACAAAACAAGAAACGATTGTGTTCCAGGAAACAACATCTCTTCCCTCCATTTCATTAAAGAGTTTAAACGAATCGCCAATACAGTTACACTTTGAATATGTGGCAATGATGGAGTTTTGTAGAACAACGCGTGAAACTAGAGAGCTCTTGACCAAATATGAATGTAGCTGCTGAGTGAACTTCAAATAGTTAAGCTGTGAAGCTGCGTTTAGTGTTAAAAGAAAAGTTACGTCATCGAAGAAAGACGCATTTTCAGCCTCCATAGCTTCAAGAAAGACATCTAATGCTTCTAGAGGACAATTGCTTTGAGCATACCCGCTAATCATGGAGTTTAATGTCTCTACGTTTCTGTCTAAACTAGAGTCAAATATACTCCTTGCTGTGTCAAGGCAGCCAAGCTCAGCATACATTAAAATAGCTGCACTCACGATGAACATATTATTTACAAATTCAGTACCCGATTTTACAAGAATCCCATATAGAATATCGGCAAACCTAGTGTCACCCATTGCAGAAACAGAAGGGAAAATGTTTACAAAACTGATGACAGACGGTTGGATGCCCATTTTAAGCATCAAAACGAAATTTCTTACTGCTTCTAGGAAACTCTCTCTTTTCATATACCAGGAAAACATAGTATTCCAGGAAACCACGCTCCTGTGACGCATTGTATTAAACACCCTTTCCACCAAAACATGATCACTGTCATTTGCTGAGCTCAGACATGTTACATACATGTTCAAGAGAGAATTGTATAGGATCTTGCTAGGGTAAATACCTGAACGAATGATATGGGCGTGTACGGATTTACCTATCAAAAGCTGCTTCAGATCGGCGCAGGCTTTGAGAGTGGAAGAAAAAGTGTATGAATCACAAGTGGATGACAACCCCGAATGTTTCATGCGGGAGTAAAACAGGATCGCTTCACTGGGCAAGTCGTTACAGATGAACCCAATGATAATTGTGTTCCAGAGAACAGTAGTTGGTTTAGGAATTGCGTCGAACACCTCGCGAGCGAGAGTGAGCTGGCCTTCGCGGCAGAGCTGGCTGAGACGGTACCGGATTGTTTTGGCTTTCGGAGGAGACTTGAGCTGTTTGCAGGATTTTGGAGGCGGCGCAGAGGATGGCAGTGAAGGTGAGGAAGGAGAGAAGTCATGGCAGTGGTGGGTGAAGGTGGCGAAGGGGAGGGGGAGAGCTGAAGATGATGAAGAGGGCGACATGCACAGCCGCATTTTGGATTTTATTAACCACCACAGACTTCTCTAACATATCTAGACCGGGTAATGGTCTAATGGACATGGGGCACATGGAGGAAATAGCCTTTTATTTTTATGGACAATATTTTCTCTATTATATGTGCCTCATTTATTTTTAGTTATATTTTTATTACATTAAATCTATTATTTATCCCATAATTAATAAAAGATTATATTTTACTCTTTTTATTGTGTATATATGGATGTACTAACTACGGAGTATAATGTATGAATGAAAATTCATAATAGAAAGGAATTTTCACCCATGTGTGGCACGGGGTGCAATTCGTAATTATTAAAGTACTATATTTATATAGTGTATATAAAGTTAAAAAATTGAAGTCCACAATGTAAGTGGTCAGAAGAGCTACAATAAAGACATACACTTTTTTGTAAATACAGAGAACTCAGACTCATTGGTCGTAATGGAGAACTCTCAAGTGAGACATTCATTTTGTACAACCAATAACTCGAGGATAACAAAAGGTAGTTGGTTCCACTTGCAGTCATGTGAAGGAAGATCTTGCATCTCAAAAGAGGAGCCCGTTCCAGCTCTTCTCTAACTTGTCAATGATCACCTTATTCCGTCATTTAATTTCATAGAATAGGAGACCAAATGGATGTACTACCCACTTCTTTGATGAGCTGAGGGGGAATATCCAGTCTCTTCTGAAGCCGCCTCATTTAGAACAATTGTCATTACCCTTCTTCTCTCAGAGTCAATAGCATTTGGTCGAGCTCTTGCAACAGACAGTGAGGAAAAGTACAGAGTCTCCCTCATAATTCCCCTTAAGGAAGGGTCACTTTTGGTGATGAGGGGAACACGGTTAATATTGCATGGCATGCAATGTGTTCATCCCCAAACAAAAAAGTTGGCTTCACACTCATTAACATGGCAATAAGTCTTATAATGTTGTACCCCCACTGACAAAAGACATTACTTTGTGGCAACCTAGCATTCCTCCATCTCCCTACACCTCTCCAAATCTAAATCACCTGCCTGCCTATGACACAACATCAACAACAATGGATGTAATACCTAGAAGTCCTATTCTCACACCTCCCGTGATCATGTAGGCTCTTGTTCACCCGCTGGTCCTTAGCCTCCGTAAGCTTCTTTGTGGCGGAACAGGGTTTTACCTGCCCTCGACCATCAGCAGTGGCGGATTTAGAATTTAATTTTGGAGTGTTCAATACTTTTTTGAAACTAGAAATTTAAATAGTACTACCTCCGTCCCATTTTATGTGTCTCAGTTTGACTTAGCACGATTATTAATGAAATGATTGAAAAGGTAAAAATTGTGATTGATGTTTGAGAATAATAAAGTGAAATGGTGTAAGACCACATATTTCTTTCCAAAAAAGAAAATGGGACACTTATTTTGGGACAACCCAAAAAAGAAAGTAGGACAGGTAAAATGGGACAGAGGGAGTAATAAATAACTATATTAAATTTACATGTATATACTTGCATATTTTTCAAAATTAGGAGTGTTCATGTGAACATGTTGGAACAAGAGTGGCTCCGACATTGACCATCAGAAGCACCATGAGACATTGAGACATCACATCAAGCATCTTCCATCTCATGCTCAGAAATAATGGTTCCAGCTGGCTTGCCCCTTTCTCCGGCTGAACCAGAGGCCCCATCTACTAAACCATGTGTTGGCTTTCCCTGATATTTATACCCTGATAGTGTGTCTTAGGCTCTTAGGGGTATAGTAGTTGATTTTATTATGTCTGCAAACTTAAATTTGTGTATCGTGTACCAAAAGAAGTTCCTGAAGTTGCAAAAAACAATTATGCAGATTAAAACAATTATGCATGTAAAGATTAAAATGCTCTATATCTATGGACAACAATACCAAATCAAGTTACAAAATCAATCTTTCAGCTCTAAAAATCTCAACAACATTCAAGTCTTAGTCCAAAAGGATTTTGGGATTGGCTAACATGAACTCAAATATGATATCGGAGCCAAAAAGAAGAGAAAGATGGGCAAGATAAGTAAGATAAAAAAAGTTAAAGTAAAGATAAAGACTTATTAAATTATCACAAGCATATATGAATCCAAAACTGCAATCAAAATTATATGAGACCGTCAAACTAAACTCATTAAAATGAGTGAATATGTGTGTGATATTTGTGTGAATAAAAACTCCATATCATTATATCATCTCAATAAGATAAATTCAGTAAAGTATCCACAAGAAGGTTAAAGAGTGTTGGTTTTCAACTTTTAATGTTTAACATCTTCAAAATATGCCAAGCACCTTGTGGTTCGATGGCATCACTGTGACACTCCCAAGGAGGAGGTCACCGGTTTGAAACTCATCCCCGTCAAGGATGCTGACATTTAACAGAACATACACTATTAAAAAAGAGAAAGTGCAATAAAAAATCATCTTCAAAATATTTGACATTAATATACCTCGATAGGCTGACCTGGACATATGAAATTTCTGATATGCCAAATGAGGAGTATGTTATAGCAAAAGTTATGTTCAAATCAAAACTACACGCATAATTAAAATCATACCTTGAAAATAGGCTTCCTTCTTAGAAGTACCAACATCAATGTTTTTGTACTAAGATGCTTCCAAGATGCCACTTCAGCCTGTGAGAGGAGATAAAAAAATTCAACCGGAGCCTAGAAAGATTTATGTTCATAAAAATGCATATTTATAAGTGTATAGCAATGAAGAATGCTTGCACTAACCCGATTTATATACATACGGGCAGGCATAGAGAAATAAAAGTTTGGTTATTATCATTTTTTAAATTATTTATGAATTTAAATATTTTTAGGTTCAAATTAATGTAGGTTGTCTTCTTGCATCTCTTGTTAGACATGACAAAGGGTCGGGGCGGATCGAGTAGTGCAGGACTCGAACCCTCCTCGTGACATAACTAGGTGGACCCGCCCCGTCTCATGAGATGTTGCCACATGACCCACCCCGTTCCACAGTAACCTAGAGCTAGTACACATTCCTAATTGCGTGAAATCGTTATAGCTTGAACTTTATATAAAATTTATCTCCAAATAACTATAAAAAACAAATACAATAAATGAAGGTCACAATACAATAAAAAGGTTCAAATATAAAATGATTTAGACTTGAATAGTTAACCACTTTTTTTATGAATAAATGAATATATAAACTAGTCTTTTACCCGTGCGTTGCACGGGATAATAGACCAACGATGTGCCTATCAAGTCATCCAATTGTTCCTAGGACTATGAATGTGCATAAAGTTTGTTCTGTTTGATCATTACATGGCCTCAATACACATTTCTAGCTAGTTTGAGCAAGCATTATTAATCTTTTTAACATCTCATATATATCTCAAGACCACATGCTCCAGTTGCCAAGCCTTTTGTCTAATATTTCAGCGCTATTTGGCTAATAATGTATAATTTTTTCTAGTAAAAAGACTATCAATGAAGCAAGCACTCACAGTCCTCCTCAAAGCTATGATAGTTCTTCTTATACTCGCGTATCCAAAGAAAACAACATCATCTTGAATAAGATATCTTTAATAAGATGGTATGATAGAAACTCAATTAAGAAAGAGCATCCTTCTTTGAACTTTTAAAATGAAAAGCATGACATCAGTATCCTACTTGGTTCTAAACCAATTAAAATTTTATAAAAGAACTCTATTAAAAAGAGCCTTCTGTGTTCGAAGGCAACAACCGGCCACAATGCCACCCAAATGGCCTCTATTGTATGCAACCAATATTCAACATGTCGCATGCATAAATCTAAAAAACATTCTATAAAAGGAAGGAGCTCCACTTTTTTAATTAAGCCGGAATACAAAGTAAAGTGTATAGGTGGACATCTTTATTTTCATTCCTTAAACTAAAGTTTTTGTTCACATCCTTTATTATCATTAGAGAACTAATCAAGATGTCTAGGAGCATAAAAAGCTTGTGATACGTATTAAAAACCGTATCTATTCACTATTTGTAATCTTTGTGTTCTCAAATCATAGTCTAAAGAAACAGAAAAAAATGCACTTTTTAAGCATCTTAACTAACATACATGAGCATTCTATTTGTCAAATAAACCAAGAGGTTCATGTAACCTTCTCATTCATTGCCAGTAAATCATCCCAGGGAGCTTTTTGTTGCAGAAGTAGTGCATAGTTTGCAGTGTACCAATGCAATTGTCCAATTCTAATTTGTTCAATTTGCATCCTCTTCAAAGAAGATCTCACACATAATCTATCAACATAGAAACTACTCTTCTACATGTGAAGACACATTGGTTCTATACTAATAGTCAAATTTTAAAGAGTAGTATATCATAACCCTACTACTCTCCCATAATAAAATTTAAAGTTTTAAACCGTATTAACAAATAAAACTTTTCCATCATTTGCAATGGAGCCAAAGACTCACAATTTTTTGGCTTGGGAACATGATGGAATAAAGCAAAATGGCTCACTAAACTGTCTGCGTATCTTTGTTATGAAGCAGCAGTTAGTCTATGTAATTTTCAACGCGATTTTCACTTTGGGTCAGCCGGAAACAATTTCTTTGTGCTTTAGTACAGGGGTAAGACTGCGTACATCAGACCCCCCCTTACCTCACCATTGGTGGGAGCCTTTGCGGCACTGGGGTAATGATAATGAATGAATGTATTAATAAATAAAACTTGCATATTGTAAAAGTATGCTAAAACTTTCATTGCACCGCAAAACTGAATTTGAACTAAAAAAGTTTGAAACACAAAATAAGTTAAAAAAGGGATTTACTTTGACCAAATGAAAAGTGAAAAGAAAAACTTTTTACAAACTAAAGAATGAGCATATTTGTTTGTATTTTCAATTATGCCAATATAAGATATGAGTAAAATATGTACAGAGTCTACATACCATTTAGGACTTACATAGTACATTAGTTTAATGTCATCTGGCGCTCTATTTCTTACTTCGATGACCAAAAAGAACTATAGAATCCTCATATGCAAAATAGTCAATCAGTACATAAAAGATCGACAACTTTTGAGATAAGGTCCTCACTTTTTAGCTTAAAACAATTGTTTTTGAGATAAAGATTCTTGAGTCATTACTATCATGCATCAACAACAAATTTAAGAAGTTTTTTATGCCTCAACATTCGAGTACAACAAATACAACAACCTCAAAAGTTATGCCTAAATATAATTTATTAATCATATTGCTTGGAAGAAGAAGAAGAAGAAGAAAGAAGAAATCCCATAAAGACTCCTATAATAAAGTTTATCATATCCGATGATGACACCAATTAGCTATTTTCCTGCGTTTGATCTCTGTTTAGTTTCTTTATTTTTGATTTCAATTTCAGTAACTTCTATTCAACTCCAAACAATATTCTATAAATCTTGTCTCTTTGGTTTCAGGTTTCCTCCATTAATTTCATAATCGAATATAGAGTTCCTTTTATACTACTGCCTTTTTTAAGTAGAAGAAATACAGAGAGCCCCCTGAAGTTTTAGGTCTTATATAGCTACTACTTTACTTTGAAGGTTAAACTAATGATTAGAAAACCGAAAAAATCACAACAGACAAAATCTAGAAAACTAACATAAAAATGAGTTATATATGACATTTGGTCTAAAGTTCCTGCTATCGATATATAAATGAAGTAGGAAATAATAAACATGCTAAACTAACCTGTGTAGTAGTTAAATTCCAATAATCAGACTTCATTTTAATTACAACTGTATCCATTAGCACTCTTTTGCACTCTTTTTGTCAATTCTCTTTATGTCAAACAAAAAGCGTACTTCTAGTTTACCCTTTGCAATGTTGGTTTATGCTTGAGTGACTTTAAAAAAAAAATTAAAAGATTAGTTAAAATAGCATAGAAAATGACTCCAAATACTCCTCCGTATTTTTAATAGAAAGGGCAAGAACACTGGCTGCTTCCATGTAGTATCAAGTGATGGGTCCCTAGGAGCATCTATGAAATAAAATCAACAACTCCACAATTGATATGTTCCAAATCTGCATAAATATTAAAAATAATCAAATATAAAGATATGTTTTTGTAAAAACAGGTTTGATAGATGTCTCCTAGAAACACTTATTATTTATTCATAAGTTTTAAGCCCTACACCATATTTCAGAAAGAATAAATATCAAAGTATTTCAATCAAGAAAATCAAAATGAAATAAATACTCCGTATCTAAAAATTGATCAAGATTTTCATTGGTTCATCAATTACTTCGTATCGAATGAAATCTTACAACCTTGGGTTTAATTTGTTGGGAAAAAATATAAATCTAGATAAGATGTAAAGAATAAAACAAAACAAAATATATGATAAAAGATACAATATAAAATTGACAGATAAATGAACAATACTTACTCACAAACCGGAAATTTTGTGGTTGGCTGCTGAATTTACTCCTAATTCAGATTAGCTTGAAAGAGCTTCAGAAGTGGGATACTTCTTTTTTCGATTGGGCACATATGATGAAGGAAGAAGGAAAAGAAAAATCGGCAAAAGAGGTAGAGGTGTATGTCAAGTTTTGTTCCGGTGTGGAAGTACAAAGATAGATGAACGCAGTTGTTGGAGTAAAGCTATCTAGGTCGGAGGAGATTTCAATAGGAAGGGCAGAAAGTAAAGACTAGTGTGGAAACAGAGTTACGAAAATGCCCCAAACTTTAGGCGGGAGTCTCACTTAAGTGAGTTAATTAATATATAGACATAGATATAGATAGATATAGATTTCATAACATTTGTTCTTATTTTGTCTTTTTAAATCTGATCTGATCCTCTTCTCTCTAGTGAGAGAGGAACCCTAGCGGCTGTCTCCCCTCTTTACAGGGATTGAGATTTTCTGTCGCCCCTACCAATATGGGGTTGGAGCGGCAAATTATACTGATTTAAAGTTTTCTAAACATGTCTGCACAGAGACAAAAGTATGTGTGCACAAACACATCTTTGTCCACATAAAAACACAAGTTTGCGAGTAAATCACAGTGATTTGCGTGTTTCTTTTGCTGAAATGTCATGCTTAGGTTACATGGGAACCAATGACCATGTGTATAGACATTTGTTGTCTGTATTCAAACAAAAAGAGCATGTACTCGTACATATATGTCTATGTACACAGACATTGGAAATGTTTTGTACTTGTACTTTTTGTCAGATCGATATTCATTCCCATTCAACCTAACTCTGACTTTTCTGCAAACATTTTTTGTTTGTGGTTGAATTTTACAAGATATTAATGATCATTCAATTTCAATTTTTCATACAGACAAAATATATCATCATTAAGCACAAAACAGATGACATTTTATATTCCACACATAGAAATATTTCGGCGACCCTTCAAATCTAATTTTACGATGACTTTCAAACATCATTTTTTCCTCGATACGTACACACAAGTAAAAGTGGAGACGATGATGGAAGATGATGGTGAAAATGAGGTATGAATAGTAGGTAAGAAGAAAGAAAAAGAGAGAACGGAAAAAGAGAAAAAATGAAGAAAGAAGAAAGAGGGTGTATGTTCGTATCATAGGGAGTAGAGACCTATGTTGCACGGATACGGATACACCGATACGCTGATATGCCAATACGGGTACGAGAATATGTCAAATTTTAGAAATTATAGAATACATGTATAGGTGTATATATAAAAATATTAATAATAATAGTAATATAATATTGCGTGGAATTTGCAAACATATATAATCCTGTGGTTCATAAATAAAATAATAATATTATAAAAATTAACAAGCATAATAAAATTTAAAAGATTAAACCAAAAAGTAAATTAAAGTACTATATATTCCAATTTAAAATAAGTATTTTTAGAAGATTAATTCCAATTCAGGCTAATCAAGGGATACATGGGCAAACTCAAGTATTCCAATATCTTCCATACTCTCAAAATCATCTCCATCAATGTCAAAGCTTATGTTTCACTCTTATATCAAACACAATTGATTTAGAAGTCTGAATTGAAATTTACTAAGTGTGTGAGATAAGAAGAAGAATGCTACTTTACTTGGTAAGAGTTGCACTTGAAGAATGATAATTGATATTGAGGAGTGAAGAGATGTGGCCGCTTGAGGGACTACTCTATTTTTATCAAGCGTGTATGAAATTAGAATTATAGAGTTAGATATGTGTATTCGTCCACGGTTTCTAGCATCAGAAGTTTTTATATTTTTTAAAAACAAGTCTAATATTTTTATTAAATTACGAATACAGATTCAATACTCGTGTGAAGTTTGTGTCCTACCAAGGGTTGTATACGAATCGAATCGAGTCGAATAGTGCGATTTTTTATTTGTATTTGTTTAATTTTTCCGAATTCGAATTCGAATATGAAACGAATATTATTTTCGTTTTGTATTTGTATTTGTTTAACAATATGAACAGTTAACGAATCATATACGAATATCGAATCAATTTGATCATAAGTTAAATATTAGTAAAATATCACTTTAAAACAACTTTACCTATATTTCTTATGTTATAAATGCATGTTATGACTTAATATGTGTTTTAGAATTTAATTTGTAACATTACATTTTTCATTAAAATTTAATGGTTTGATGCATTTTTAGGTTGTGCACAATATACTGAAGTGAATCAATTTTATAATTACTATACATAAATATTTTTCAAAGTTTTTGAAATAAACATTAACACACACATTAGAAATTATACATATAATGTGTGAAATAAGTTGATAATTGAATATATTCTATACTTTCAAATTTAAATCATAATTTGTGAAACCAAATCACGAATCAAATTAAAATCATTTGTTTCGTTCGCAATCCTTACTCCTTGTGTTACTTCTGATTTATTACAAATTGGTTTGGAATTTGTATACCTAAATGTATATATGGGCTACACTTTGAGGTTATAGTTAGCTTTTAATAGTTATTACAGTGTTATTACGAATATTATTAATACTATTATTAATATTATCATGAATATTAATCGAATATATTTGATTAACATTCGAATCGAATATAGTGATATTCGTATTTATATTTGATAACAATTCGAATCAAATTTAGTATTCTTATTTGTATGTGATATTCGTATTTATATTTGATAAGAATTCGAATCAAATTTAGTATTCTTATTTGTATTTTTATTTGATTTATACTAATTTGAATCGCGAACTGAGCATAAATTATTTGATTCGTTTAGCACCCTAATCCTGGAGGGAAGAGTAAAAAATTACCATATGGAGGGAAGAGTAAAAAATTAAACCGTTTCTATACATCAAACATTTTTGACCTGTAAAATGCTTTTCTTTCCTTAATCCACCGGAACGGAAAGCAGATTCCCATGTTTAGCGCCGGAACTTCCTTCCTCGCGAGCTGCAACTGCTCTGAACTAATTTCAAATTCCAAAGTTGGGCCACCCTTCTCTTCCCTATCCGTTCACTCGCTGAGGCGATGCTATCGGTTCCCGACTGGAATCGGGATTAGAATCAATGGCCGTCTCTATGGAGAGCCAAGTGGAAGATCTCAGTCTGCTAATAAGGAGTGCCATGTCGGCAGGAGCTCCATCCAGGCCATTTCATCTGTCGCTGAATCCGGCGACTCTAAGGCTACTAGGCTTCGTAATCTCCTAGAGTCGCCAGGGATTCATCTGGGCCCCGCCTGCTTCAATGCTCTCAGCGCTAAGCTCGTTGAGAGAGCCGGCTTTGATTTCGGCTTCACCACTGGTTCTCCTCTACTACAACTACCTCCTGATTAACTGACTGATGACTGATATCGCTTACCTGAATTTCGTTTATATCATTTGTTACTTTGTACTCCGTATTTGTGTTAGCCTTTTAGGACTATTATCATGGTATGATGTATAGCATATAATTCCAAGTTTCGAACATTTTTTTAGTTTTTGCTACCTCTATTAAAAATGGTAATTTGACAAAAACTGTGGCTGTGAATGTGAGAATCAATATGTTTCTTCTAATATACCCCTATTGTAATTGTAAATAGAGAGGGCAACACAAAATGCATGTAGATAATGAACACTTATTTTGGAACGGTGAGAGTACTTTATAGTCACGTGATTAGCTTGTTCATTTATAATTTCTCAAAATATCTGTTTTGTGAGGAGCACAGGACACCTCAATCATGGTTGGTTGTTCAATGCATTTTGTATCATTAAGTAATGAAACGAAACGAAAAAAGAGTTTGGTGATCATTTGTGCTCATAGATCTTCACTCAATCTGATGAACACTAATGCTTTCACAAGGTTTTGGAATATCTGCTGCTCAGTTGGGCTTGCCAGATACGGGGCTAATAACTTATGGGGAGATGGTGTCTGCGGGACAAGAAATCGCACATGCTGTTTCCATACCCTTAATTGGAGATGCGGACAATGGGTATGGTAATGCCATGAATGTCAAGAGAACTGTCAAAGGGTATATTCGCTCAGGTTATGCAGGAATACTTCTTGAGGATCAGGTTTGTGTACTCTCTGAAACTCTAAAGTCTAAACTCTGGTAACTCTGTGGGAACTTGTTACCGAGTAGATATCACTTAATCTTTCACTTTAAATATTACTTCTTTACATGGTGACGTTTGAATAAAAACATCGCTAGAATCTGAAAATAAAACAATTGATATAATCTTGACGATGCGAGATAATTAACATAACTCAAAACAACAAATGAAACAACTCATTGAATAATTCAACAAGCTCACATAATAATAGCAAATAGTCTAAAATCATCTTTTCAAAATCAACGAGACTTCTTTCTTTCTTTTGGTTGAACAAACATGTATAGGTGGTATAGGTGGTAGTGAACTTACCTGTTAAGAGCTGAACTCAAAATACTCAAATAAGTGTGACACCTTTGATAACATATATCACGATAAGCTCTTCTCTTAAATCTTTAATTAAACGAATGAATTGCAAAATCGGAAATTTCTCTCTTTTAATCATAACCCACAATAATAATAATAATAATAATAATAACAAATCCTCTAGTTTGGAACCCACACATAGAAGCGAAACTCATATTCTTCCATGGAGTTTTGCCCAAAAAATCTAAAGCTAAAACCTTAGGTAATAGAATTGTACTGGAACTACTGGAATGAAGCTACTGCTCCTTCATTTAAAACACAATCCCAACCTAGGAACTAAAATAAACCAATTCCAACATTATGAATTCATATCAGGAAAACTTAAGTTACACCAGGGGGAAGTTTAAAGATAAGCACATTAAATTTTTGTTCTATTAAGTCCTATCTGGATTAAGACGTTTGTCTGGGTTAAGGATGTTTTCTTTTGGACTGTTTTCAGTCCCAGACCATATCAGATCAGATCAGACCTGACTTCTTTAGTTGTAAAATACACAGAGACCAGACGTTTACCAGATCAGACCAGACCAGCAAATTTCAGTCCAAAAGAAAACATCCTAAGTGATATGGATTAAGTGATATTGTATATGAGCCTATTTATTTTGTATACTGAATAAACAGTTTGAATCGAGTAAAATAATCAATTTAGTATTATTCTTATACTATAATGTCAATGAAAAACTTCATTTATTAATATAAATCTATTCTACAATCAATTTGAATAAATTGACGGAAAAAACATCTTAATAGACGTCTTAATGGCAAAGACTACTATTCTCCAATTTAATTACTAAGTCAGTTTTTTGAGTGAATGATTAAGTCATGTTTTCAATTAAGTTGTAAGTAAACATGACTTAATGGCTGAATGATTAAGTTGTCATTGCCATTAAGTCCATTAAGTCGAAAATAAACAGCCCCTAAGCTTCCTTCCTGGACAGATTGTTAAGCCACCCACAATAACAATATGAACCCAAATTTAAGGTCTGAGAGCTGCTACACGCAGGAACAGAAGACAAAAAAAGAACTCTAGCTTGGAGTGTTGCTCCATAAATCGACATTACACTCCCCCTTTTTTATGCCAAATCATAAAAGGAGGTTTAAGGGCAATAAAGTTTGAACTAGAGACTATTGTCTAAACCAGAGACTATTGTCTGAAGCCGAACTTTGAAGTGTTGAATCTGAACCGTTAGCTAATGGAGTAGACCCGTTTGGCAAAAAGAGATGAAAAAGTACTGAGATCACATGAAATTACATTAAAAGGCATATGATTTATTAATATATTAAAGAGAAAATAACTTTAAATAATACAAACTATCTTTCATGAACCAAGAATAATATGTACTTTAGAAATAAGTTTCAATAATACCAACTATTTAAATATAGATCGAAAGTGATATAGAGCAATTTTTTACTAAAAATTTGGCTATTTAACTTATCCAAAACTTGTATCAAAATAACTAATAAGTGAATGTAGTTCCAAATATCATTTATTTGATGGGTTGCAATTAGTTTTTGATGTCTTAAATTTTCAGATTTCTTGTCAAAAAGTGACTCCATAATATTTTTGTTTTACATTCAAATAGTTGGTATTATTAAAAATCATTTTCAAATTATGTATTATTATTGGTTTATGGATGATAGTTGGTATTATTTGAAGTAATTTTTCCTATATTAAAATATTTATTATAATGATTTTTATATTTTCAGCCTTTTAATATATTTCCATCATTTGCAATGGAGCCAAAGACTCGTTATTTGTTGGCTTGAGAATATGATGAAATAAAACAAAATGACTCACTAAATTGTTGTGTTTCTTTATTATGAAGCAGCAGTCAGTCCATGCAATGTTTGACGCGATTTTCCCTATAGGTCATCCGAATACAGTCTCTTTGTGTTTTAGTACAAGAGAAGAATGCGTACATTCGGCTCCCCCTTACCCCACCATATGTGAGAGCTTTTTGCGGTATTGGGTAATGATGATGATGATGATGAGCCTTTTAATATATGTGTGTGTGTATATATGTAATGTAATATAATACTTATATACACACAACCTAGTGCATTGAGTTCAAATAAATCCACAACATTTATATATGCGATAATGCGATAAGAAATGAAAAACCATAAAATTTACATTTCAATTTGAAATAGTTGTAAAAGATAAAATGTGTAAACATGAACATTGTCATAATTGACTAATCAGAGTGGAAATATTTAATTTCTGTTGGCTCATATCAAGGATGTTATATTGTTGCGAAGTTCCTTCATCTCACTGGAGCCTTCCGTTTATGAATTGGTAGTACTTGAAGTCGAGTTCTGAATATCAACAAGATCATCCCGTGGTATGAAATTTGGATGGCGCTTGAGAACCTCAAACATTAAGTCATTGCTAGAGAATTTGCGAATGTAATTGTGCAAAGCAAATGTTGCCATAATAACAACTATCTGCATTTTAACGCTAAACATAGGCATTCTTGATTAAATTTAAACATAGGCATTCTTGATTAAATTTTCCACTTTTTTCAAAACACCGAAGAACGCTCTATGCAACTATGAAGAGATGAGTGCCAGCGATTGAAAGTTTCTTGAGCATTTATTGATGCTTCATTTTCAAATTGTTCCAAGTGATATCGTAGCTTGGGATAAGGAACGAAATATCCTTTTCGATTTGGATAGCCTTTATCTACCAAGTAAGATCTACCTACATAAATTTCTTTTTTTAAGGAAAGGTGGCTTAAAGCTTTAAATTAATATCACATCATTCAGATAAGGGCTAAAAAGACAAAGAGACCATAGACAACCGTCGACCCTCGAACAGACTCAGAGTTAACCACCTCAATAGAAGCAGTATGACTCGCTGATCCATTTATGGGCGCAACTGAGCCAAAGACGGAAAGCACAGACCTCCTGTCACCCCAATCTAAACTCAAAGTCTTACAATGCATGAAAAAAACCAAATAAAAAATAACAAAGTATTTAATCCCAAAGAAAGCAAAAATAACAATAAAATAAATTCCCTGCTGCGTCTTCCGAAGCATTAAGACGAGCCAATGATCTGCGCCGCACGGAGGTGGTTTTGGAGGAGGACGAGCTCTACCAATGTCTACGCACTCCGAAAGTAGGCAGACATAAACTTCTAACCAGACGAAGCTATTCGGAACACCAAAAGAACTCCCCACATCGAGAGAGACAAAATAAGAGCCATAGAACAAAATAAACACATCCCGAAGAAAGAACAATCCAATTGAATCATAATTCATACCTCTATCACGAATCTTTGAGGATTGATGTCATCATCAGATAGTTTGTATGTTGCATCACGTGTATTGTATTATTCCTAGATCGAACTAAACAATTGATCGTTGCTTGCTAGTTGGCTGCTACTTGCCTACGCCGCTGAAGAGCCGCACTCCAAACCCTAATCCATAGTCGTCGCTTCACGCCCACTAAGAGGATATGCAAGTTATAATACGGAGTATACCTACATAAGTTTTAAAAATATGATTAAAATTATGTATATGAGTTTAACAATGGACAATAAAATATACCTTGAGGTGGATGTGGAAAGTTCAACGAGGGTATCTCTATAGCATGAAGGAATACACGTGTATCATGAGCCGATCCCTCCTACCTTACTAATAGAAATGTAAAACACATGTTAAATTCATACACAACCATAACATTATAGGTTGGTATACCTTTTCTTCCTCTATAGTTCACTGTCCTTCTGAATTATGGACCCTAAGTAATGGAACATATCACAGACCAGTATCTCCTTGCCATAAAAGGTAATCCCATTGTTACCACTACTTCTATCTCATTACGAGAAAACTCACTGGTATTTTGTTGTTTCTCATAATTATGTTTAAGAAACATGTTAATTACTCGATGTCTCTTTCTCCAAAACTTCTCCAAGCCTCAATCGGTATGCCATCTGGACCCATTGTTTTCTTCCGCCCCATCTCTCTCAGTCTCTTTAATTTCTGTCGTTTGGATCCTTCTCACAAACTCCCAATTTACCGTACAATCTGGTATAATAAGATCATCAATATCTTGCACTTATTCTCGTTGAACAAGGTATCAAAGTATGACATCCACCTCTCTTTTGTTTTAATGTCCTCCATTAGTACCCTTTGATCGACATCCTTCACACACTTAACTTTTCCGATATCTTAGAGTCTTGCGATCACGAAGACGAGCAAGTCTGTAAATAGTTTTTTCTCCTTCCTTAAAGTCTAATTTTACATACAACTCCTTGTTCACTTTCCCTCTTGTTTCCTTTATGGATTTCTTTGTTTTTCTTTTAGTCTCTTTGTCCTCCTCTATGTTCTCATCGCTCCAACTTTTGTCCAATTTTTTATAGCATCCCCTTTTGTTCCTTATTGCTCGTTTCACCTCACCATTCCTCCAAGATATATCCTTTTTTGGTGGCAGACATCCTTTAGATTCTCCAAGTATCTCCTTTGCCACTTTGTTGATGGTCAACTCCATTGATAATCACACATCATGTGCATGTGCATCATTATCAATACACCACACATCTTCCCCTAACATTTTGTGCTCAAAGCTTTGGAGAGATCCCCCTCGAACCTCTACCACTT